CCAAGATTAAGTTTAAAACCTATATACCCTTATGAAGCAGAGTCACTGATCTCTATGACAATTGCTGGATTGTGCTTCCCGCTCCCGCGAGTGAAGCCACCGAACGGCCATCTTGCTCGTAGACAAATTGTGTTGCAGAAGCTGGCGGCAGCGTGCTGAAGACACGTCTACTTGTTCATCATGTTTCGCCGAAGAAGGTTTTTAAGACCCTGCGTATGCATTAAGACTTGCCGTTGAGAACATGTGAAAAATTTTACGAAAGCGCAGTGCCGCAGGAAAACGGCAGAACTTGTAGAAAGCATGTTTCACCGGCTTTGCGGCAAGATTAGAGCTTCCTTGGCACGCCGAAACACTGCATCTCTGTGCCTTCACACGCTTGGATACCAATCAAGAATCAGTGCCGTGGCAAAGTTCTGAAAATGCGTCGCACGTAAATGTCTTTGTATCATATATCAGCCGTAGAGTTCTTGATCGTCCAGCTGTTCCGGCAATTTGTTATCAATAAAGGGGGGAAAACAATCTGTATGGCTGCTCTTATGCACTATTAACCATGGCTATGTTCCAAATCTACTCTAATGGATCACATGGCGGCACAAATAGAGCAATGCTGTGGAGCAAGAATGGTTTTCGATGGCAAAAGTACAAGACGACGAGACTGAAAATCTTTGAGGCTAGGTAATCGGTTAACCAATCACATTTAGGTGAGCCGTGCTCAAAGTTGATGTCCCAAGCAATTGTTGATAATGAGCCCCAGACCACTGATCAGTGATGAGGAGCTGTGTGCACGGTATTCTGTAAACCGCCTAACGACTTAAAAAAAGACGTACCATACCCCCCCTCCCCCCCTTTTCCGTCGCCACTGGACACTGGATCAAGCTCATTTCTCGACCGCGAGTGCCGTAAGCTAGAAATACAGTTGCCAGAGTAAAGTAAAACGCTGCTTCCAAGGCACATACAGCTCCACGCACATTGAACTCCCAAAACACATCCACACGGCGTCGATTCTTGATTGGTATCCAAGCGAGCGAAGGCACAGAGACGCAGCACTTCTGCGTGCAAAGGAAGCTTTGATGATGCTGCGAGACCAGCAAAACTTGCTTTCGACGAGTTGAGCCTTTTTCCTGCGGCACTGCACTTTCGTAAATATTTCCACGTGTCCTCAACTGCAAGTCTCAACGCTTACACAGGGCCTTAAAAAGTTCTTCGGCGAATGACGACGAACGAGCAGAAAACGTGTCTTTAGCACGCTCCCGCCAGCCTCTGCAACGCTAGCAAAACCGCAATTTGCCTATGAGCAAGATGGTGGTCCGGTGGCTTCACTCGCGCTGCAGCGACCAAGTGGGGCAGAGGCGTATATGCAGAGAGTTTGGCCATTCGTTGAGAAGTGTAAAAGACAAAACGAGGAGGTGCCATTGGCCGAAAGAGGGCTGGGCGTGTTCCAGGACGTCTTCACAAAGTCGATTGTGGCCAACCAGAAGTCGGAAAAAAACCCTGGCAGTGGTAGCAAGAAACTAACTTAATAAGTGCATCGGAGTAACTCTTGGCGACGAAAATATGGCGCATGAGGTGTTTCAATTACGGTCTTCGAAAATTATGGTGGAAGAGCGTGACTAGCGGAACGATCAACATAATCCGTACGTCAGGCGCCGAGGGCCGGGAATCTGCCATCCGAGTGGTCACACTGTCTGAGCAAAACAGAGTTGAGCGGCACATTCATTTCTTACATCTTTCTGAATGATCATGATCGAAACATCACGTGCACCCTATTTTCAACCATGAAGAGTTACTAAATTTCACTCTTACGCGCTTATTAAAACTATATACGAACCTTTGATTAAACAGTTTCTCGCTAGCCAGCCAGGGGATTCTTTTAGGCTTCTGGTTGGCCAAGAGAGCATGTCAAGCCCACTTTCTACGTCTGGCACACGCCCTGACTCCCCGCGCCTCCCATTGACGAAACTCTCTATACAGGGCTCTGAAGCGGGGAAGCGCGATCCAGCAATTGTCATAGAGATCACTGGGCAGCATGCACAAAGGGCTTATACCAAGTCATCCAGATTAGGGTACAGAAACACCACATGACTTTGTAGAAGCAAGGTCAGCGGAGCCCAGAATAGCCACGCACCGAAACCTGCGGCGCCAGAAAGACAGCGTACCTAAACGTTCGGTTCCCGTCACTTGTATGATTTGAAAGCAGGAAATGACAACGCGACCTTGGAGAAATGTTATTGATGGCGAGGGACAACCCTTGTCGAACTTTCTTGCCGCGGACTTCGAAACGAAGGTTCTCCGAGCAATGGTGTTCGTGTCATTCAACACCGGCGACAGGTAATTCAGTTTTGGGATAAAATAACATTAGGCGGTGCACAAAATATTAGAGACATTAGCGACGTCAGAGGAAAACCACGTGCATGTTCATTCACTTACCTGCTTCAATCAACATCGCCTCTGCAGGCGGCTCTTCCGCGCTCCATCTCACCAAGACAACAGAACCCCGCAGGTCCTTGATGGCGCTGGGCTCCGCCATCAGACGTAGCCCTAGCTCTGTGTCCACAAGGACACGTGTAGGGTACACATCCCATTTCTCCTCCGACAGCCATCGGACTAAAATATGTGACATGTTCTCTCCAAGCCTGCACGCCTGCACTACGAGACGACGAGACGACGAGACTACGAACAACGTGTTGACTTGAAAACAGAACACATTGTTGCCAGCAGAGGCATAGACATTCGCTGTTTTACACGATGGGGAATTACATTTACATAAATGTTTCGGTTTATTAAAATAAGTTTTACATTATTAAGCATGAAAGAATTGTAAGTAATTAAATATGTCGAACTATAAAGTTTACCAATTATTGTGCAAGCCAGTGAGTAGGTAGTTTATATCCAATCCAGTCCCTGACCGCTATTGCGTGCGCTTCGATCCGGTTCGGTCGGTTTAGTGGTTCACGGCGGTTTGGTGTTCGTGTGGGATACCGCTCGATAATCGGGTTTGATCGTTTTGACTATAGCGTAGTGGCGTAGTGTTGGTACATCACTGTCACATCCCTATCTTCTGTTTTTGATCGTGGACGCCTCTGTATGAGGTTGAGCGCAGCATGGGGAAAAGACGGCCGTATAAGCAGTACCTGTGGGACCCTTCTTCCGAAGTGCCGACCCGCACGAAGCATCGACTTCGAAAAGAAGCAGAAAAAAGAAAACGGGAAGCGCTTGTGCTCACATCCAGTGACAGCGAACTCTCCGACTCGGAGCTGAGTCCTGGCATTCCACAAGTGGACAGTCCCGGGAGCGCATCGATGACCGTTCTGGACGAAGAAAATGCAAGTGTAGCCTCAACGTCTGGTCAAAGAAGCGTAGCAAATGAACGTTTCACGGAAGATCCGGTGTCGGAGTCGCCCTCGTCCGAAGGCGAAGACGACCCCCCGAGTTCAGAAGAGGCAGGGGCCAAAAGGGAAACGGTAATATACCTCGCTTTTCACATTGAGTAGAGCTGTACGCATTACGTCGTGCACCCCGGCTGGAAAGTGCTATACGGACTACCCGAAACTCGTATAACAAGAATGGTTACAACTAACTATCGACGCGGTGGTGTGGCTTAGTGGTAAGGCGTCTGTTTTGTAAGCAGCGGTGCCCTATTCGATGGGGTTCGAACCCCTGTGTAAACTTCCTCTTTTTTGTTTTTCTTTTCTTCTAGGACGTTTATGTTTGTTAAGCAATTGGCAATATTTACGACATTTCTTTTTTACAATTAACACTGAAAAAAAAAAAAGGAAACGTTGAGGAAATTTTGCTGAATTAAATGGTATGGGACTCCCTTTCGGGAGGTACGATTGGGGACAGTGGGGCTCGGGTTGCTGGCTGAACGCCGCGCAGTGTCGTGTATGGGGGGAAGGGGCATGTGGGTTAATAGTTTTGTAATTAGCAGCCGCACACTCGCCGCAAAGCGGCGTGAACACAGGCAGGGGGCTGGCGTAACACGTCTCCCGTTGATACACGCGCCGCCTGGAAAGAGTGACCCAAATGGCGTGAGCTCTTCGCGTAGTGAGTATAACCATTTCTGGTCGAGGTGCACTATGTAGTGCGTATAGCTTTACTCTTTTCACGTTGGGTAATGCTATACGAACTATGTCGTGCAGCCTTAACTGTGTGTACAGAAATCTTGATGTGAAATGTAGCCATGCTTCAGGTCTCAAACCATAACATGAGGGGCAAAACCTGGAATTTGGATTTAAAAATGCAGGAAATGTAGGCGGGACACTACAATCCCTACAACACTACTCATAAGGCTATATCTCGAATGGACGGCCGTATTTTTGGAAAAAGAGGTCGCGATTGAGCGAGGCCGATAAACTGCGTGACATCAAGATATCTCGTTTCCTCCTCTCTTCGCTTCGCCCCCTCAAGGCGGCGAGGCGAAGAAGACGCGAGGCCGTTCCGTCTCCTTCTCGTAGAAACAAGACGTAAACATATCTGTCAAGTGCACCTCCTTTTTTCTTAAAAAATACAGTCATCCATTTGAGATATCGCTGAATGAGTGATGTTTTGGTGTTTGTAGCATCCTGTTGCACGCTTTTGCCGCCGTGTTTTGTGGAATTCAGATTTCAGTTCAGCATCCCTTTAACTCGAAATGAACAACATTACAGTGTTCTTGGTCCTGCAAAGAACTTGCTTTTGTTTTCAGCCCTAAACTCAGAAGTACACAATTTTTGTAGATTGATGTCTTTCTAATTCATCTACACAATTCACAGGATGAACCACTGTATCAAGGGGCCAAGCTGACGAGAGCGGAAAGCCTGATAATGGTGATGAGCCACAGCCTGCGGTACGACTCTTCGAAGGAATCAACCGAGAGCCTTCTGAAGCTTGTGGACTCCCATCTTCCGGAGGGAACAGTTTTTCCCAGGTCGAAGTTTTTATTTTTTAAGCATTTTGCTGGGGACGAAGCCAGTAAGGCAATGTATTTATACTGCCCCCAATGAGTATGTAATCTGGGGAAAGTGACTGCATCTCTCTTAGAAGTATCCTGCTCAGTCTGTAGTACTGTTTATAGAGCAGATGATCTTGTGTCGAAGGGTGCTTATTTTGTTTTTTTGGACCTTAAGTCCCAGGTTCGGGACATTTTGTTGAGTGGGAGCCTGAGCACTCCAGGAACGTTGGAGTATGATGTGCAGGACATCACACAAAGCTCTGCCTACCACAGCCTTCCGCTGAAAGAGGGGGATCTCAGCGTAACGTGGAATACCGATGGTGTTCCGCTTTTCGAGTCTTCGAATTACAGCATTTGGCCTTTGCTTCTGCAAGTGAATGAGCTGCCATTTCACGAACGCGTGCAGAACCTGCTGCTAGCAGGTTTGTGGTTTGGCCCTAAAAAGCCAGACATGAACTGTTTTTTGGAGCCATTTGTGGAGGTTATGAATGAACTGTCTTCTGTGGGTGTTCCTTGGACTGATGCTTCTGGCACACAAAAAGTATCTAGAGTGTTTCCAGGGCCATGTACAGTAGATACTGTTGCACGCTGTATGCTCATGAACATGACTCAGTTTAATGGGGCTTTTGGGTGCGGCTGGTGTGAGGCCGAAGGAGAGGTCGTGGAGAAAGGTCGAGGCCATGTAAGAGTGTACCCTGCGGTCGTTGGCACAACACGGTCTCATGAGTCGTTTCTCCATCATTCTGAGAAGGCGGAGAAGCAAGGTGCACCAAGCCATGGTGTTAAGGGTGCAAGCATTCTTTTCGGATTGGCATTTTTCAACTTTGCCTCAGGTTTCGTTGTTGATTACATGCACGCTGTGTGCTCCGGGTTCGTGAGATCCACGGCCTTTATGTGGTTCAAAGGTCGGAGTGGGCAGCACTACCACCTGGGTAGTTTCATGTCTGAAATAGACATGAAACTAAAAGCGCTGCAGCCAATCTGGGAGATCTCCCGACTTCCCAGATCTCTGAAGGACATGAAGTTCTGGAAGTCGTCGGAATGGCGCAGCTGGATGCTTTTTTATTCTCCTGTGGTCCTGAAGGGGTTCCTCCCGAAAAAGTACTTCGACAACTGGCTGAAGTTTGTGCGTATCATGCACTTCTTGTTGAGTCGCTCAGTTCCACTTGACAGCCTTCCACAGGTGAAAAGAGCAATGACCGCATTCCTCAAAGAGTTCGAGGAACTCTATGGCCAAGTCAACATGACTTACAACACGCACTTACTCCTCCACTTGATAGATAGTGTGAGACTGTGGGGACCCCTCTGGGGGTACTCCGCATATCCCTTTGAGTCAATGAATGGGAAACTTGTACGACTTGTAAATGGGACAAGATATGTTCAATGTCAGATTATTGATAAGTTTTCAATAATCCGAAGTCTTCCGAAACTGTGGGCAGTCGCCTCCAACCGCAGTGCTGATGACCAGATCGCGGTACTGCTCAGGTCACTGATGAAAGGCTACAACTTGAGGAAGCATGTGGTAAAGAATGGTGCCGTAATCTTCCAAGGAAAGGGTCAACCCGAAGGAGACAAAGTCCTTTTCAAGAAGGTTAGAATTGGTGCCTTCACGTACTGTGTCAAAGCACTGGACAAGTCCCGTAGGAAGAATTCCTACGTGTTTGTAGGGGGCATATTCGGGCAGCTAGTTGCCATTGTTGCTTGGTGCAAGCGGGGGCACACGTCATGTAGCTGTGTCAAAAATGTGACCCTGCGTTTAGAACAACTGAAAGTAAAGGACTTTGTTCTCAGCTCTTTTGGAGCTCTTTCTCTAGTACAGTTTGTTGAAGTGCAACACACTAATGCAATAATCGAAAAGGACGCTGCATCTGTTCAGAAGTGCATAGTTCTTTGCAATTCTTCTCGCACCTGTCTATGCGTTGTGAATGATACCTATGTGCTTGAGTCTGTCTGAAAGCTTGCAGTGAGGAAGGAGCATAAAAACAAAAGCCTCGAGGTGCACCTAAGTACTTCTTATGAGTTGTGAATGCGAAAGCACGTATGCCGCTCTTCGTTCCTTTCTTTGGTCTCCAGCGTACAGCGCGCTGACCTTGGGCGTGGAGCGGTGGAGCCGCTGCCTCGCGGACATAAGATTTAATGAAAGAAAGAATTTAATGTGCCGTTTTCGCGCTTCAAACTGAAGACGTCGGCTCTTTCCATGAGGCAGTTAATGCTTTTGCATTAAAACTTCCCTTTTAATGCTCCTTCCTTAAGGTGTGATCTCATTGCCGATGCACCTGTCCTGTTCTTAAAGGGATACTACAACGAAATTTCGGCGCTCATTTTTTGGTCTATATGTGCTCAAAGGAGCAGCATCACATCGAACACACCAATATCTTGTTAAAAAAGTCACGAAAAGGAATTTTAAAACGAATTAAACGATTAGCAAAGAGCACCTGGTGGATGTCGCTAACGCCTCGCTTGTAATGCCCGTCTAGGAACCTTGACAGCTATTGACGGAGGTTGTCTCGCCTCCGGCCACGAGAGAAGTGGGGCAGCAGGAACTCCCCTCTCCCCGGGAATGCTTTTTGTATGTCGCAGAAGTCGCTATTGTCCCCCTACAAGATTACAGAAGATTAACCCGTCACTCAAAATTCATACAAAAGCAGCCGCTTCGGTGGCTGGAACGACTAGGCCATCCTCTCGACGTCAGCCTAGCCGTAGCTTTGCTCGTCTTGGGACGACCTACGTCACGATTGCGTTGGATGTCACGTGGTCTCCGCTGGGCCTTCTCCGAGCGCTTGCCAGAGTGGGCCGTTTATATCAAAAATACAGCCACCAGGCTCAAAATACAAACGTGCGATTGTCATTTACGGATATTGTGGATCATATTCAACCTATTTTTAAACACGACGAGAATATTTCAAATTTCGTTGAAGTATCCCTTTAAAGGGGCCATTACATGAAAATTAGTTAAGTCGGGTGACTCTTGATATGAAACCCTGATAGGTTGCTCAATATACATACCAACTTTCAGAATTTTTAGAGCTTTACTATTTCAAGAAATTAATTTTTTAATGTTACTCATTTGCATTTGGAGACCAGGCAACATTGTCACAATTCTGACGTAGCTGGCCCACAGCAGCCGCATTATGGCGCCCATGAACCACCTGGTTCATGGTTCATGGGTGCCATGGTTCGTGCAGCGTAGTTGCACCGGTTAAATCCTCTCTAATTCCAGGCTTTCGTTTGTTGCTTTGGCTAGTAAATGCTGCAGTGTAACTTCTTTTCACCACATAGGCGAGCAAAGCAAAGCAAGTTAGGACGCAGTGTATACCTCTCAGCGAAGCATTGTACGGCGACACTGTTTTGGGCTATTAATGATAAATATGGCAAGTGAATCGCGGTTGCGACTCTAGGCCTTTTATGTCAGCAGCTGCAGGATGCGAGTGCAACACTTTGAGCAATTCGGCTCTGTGTGCATGCTCGTGAGTGAAAGCATAGTTAAAAAAACATGTTCAAGCATGTTGCTCGTCGCAGTAGGGAAACGGTCAGCCTTGCCGAGTCAGTCTCACTCGAGCCTGCCGTCCCGTGGGCACCTTGATGCTTGCTCTTTTCTGCTTTCCCGACGCTCCGTTTTTTATTTGTTTCTGGCACAAGTTCTCCACATTAAACTATTGAGCTATCAGTTCTTTAGTGATCTTTGCCGAATCTTCGCCTGCCCTTTGTGACAAAATTACCTCCTCCCCTTTACAAATTAACAATTTTGCTTGCCGCTCTTGGGCAGTGTGAGTATGGCCATCCCTGATCTTCTATGACCAACTGACCCGGGCTCTACCTAGGCAGCTATGGTATTGATTATCCATGGCCCTGGAAACACTTACTAGCTTTGTGCCCTCTTTTTTTTTGACCACTCAGTCGAACTTCCCACAGAGTCATTGTTTTGTTGTTGCGCATGAATATAGCCATTAGTGTTCTTTTGTTTCTTTTTGTTCTGGTTCTTTCCCTTCTCACGATGGTGCCACATGCAATGTCGGTCTTTCTGGATTCGTAGTCACCTCAAGAACCATATAAAAAAAGTGGCTCCTTGCCATTACCTATTTTTTTTCTTTTACATAGTGACCGTATGGTTATATGCATTTACAATGAGTTAGGATTTAGATTGTATCAAAATGGAACACATTTTAAATGAAAAAAAAAACTTTTTTTTCTCTGACACCCATACCTTGTAAAAACTACTTTGTGCAGCTTATGCACTTTGTGTGAAATGATATTTTCTTGAGGCAGTGATGAGAGTATGCACCTATTTCCAATCTGGGTTTTGGGTAGGCTAATCTCGTCTTAAGTCGTGTGGAAGTGTGAGTAGGCCACCAACCATCTCGGTAAACTGGAGATGTTCATATGTCGGTTTACAACCATTGGTTTATAGTATTTGCTACGAAGAGAGCCAACGTGACTTTTATTGGATAGTATGAATGCACAGGAGTGTTGGATTGAGAGTATATTTGTGTATCATGTTTATAAATGATTCCAAAGAGCATTCATTTTCTGTCTTGCCACAAGTCACAATGCATGTTGTGGCTTAGATATTTACACCATTTTCCTTCTTTTGAGAGATTGTTAGATGGCATTAGGAAGCTTACAGTGCAAATTGACATGTGACAGTTCTGCTGTTTTATAGACTAACTTGTATCTGGCATCATGTCAAGGCAGGTGCACGGACTGTTGGAGCATGTACAGGATCTTTCACTCTTTAAAAAACAAGTTCTTGCACAAGTGCAGTGCCCACAGCTCCTCTGGGCAAATGCATACGTGTTTATAAACAATGATTTGGTGTATATAGAGGAATGTTTTATTATTATTGGATTGCATGGTGACTATCAAGAGACAGCTCCTGCATAGAAACACTAATTCATCTTCACATAAAGGTTGACAAGTTTCTTGTGGCTGCCAAGCGTGATTGATATTGTTACTTAAAAGATGGAATGTCCATTGCAATATTGTTCTGTCGTTTCTCCATGTGCATGCAACTAGTAAAGCAATTTTCATACTATGTTGTATTTTGTGTTTCACCATAGAGTAATGCGGCATTATCCTGAGCAAGCTTTGCCCTGTGAATAAAGGATCACTATTTGTTCTTCTTGACTTTTGTTGCATTGTATCATGGTACATTTTTTTAATAGTACCTGTTGATAAAACCGAGAAGTTAGGTTTTATATTTCATAGTTTTGTATAACTGTGCACACACAGAATAGAGTTTGTAGGAAGGTTAATTAAAGCCGCTGCGAAATTTCACTTCTGCTAATTACAGTAAGTATAAATCATTGGCACTTTTATATACATATATTCCCACATACACACTGAAGACAAATCTAGGAACAAAACGTGTACACCTCTATGCAGATTGTGTCACCAGTGTTCCATTTCAAACTCCGAATAGCATGCAGAGTGTGTGATGCTTTCTGAATTCTCACGAAACTACTCTAGTATGTCATCAATCTATATAATTCTGGCACATGCATATATTCAAGCCGCACAGGATGAAACATAGCTGTGAGATGCATTTGCAAGTATCCGTCCCGACTTAACGCTAGGCACAGCAAACTTTTATGTTATGTCGGACGTAACTTTAATATTATTTTTGTTATGTCTGACGTAACAAAAATGCACTGCCATAAAAATAAGAATTTTACTATGTACAGATGTCAAGTTGAAGCCATTTTTCAACATATGTTAAGAGGGTTGTGCTTGCGGAATGTTTTATTAAATAGAAACAGGAAAGGGAATGAAAAAGGTCATTTGCCTTTGTCTGATTCTAAAAAAAAAATCCTAGATTAAACGAAAAAGTGCAAAACAACTTACTATCATTTTTAGAACTCTTACAAATATGCCAACAGAGAAAAACCTATAGAAAATGTATTTTCCCTTTCAATATTTTCAAAAAATGTGACCTGTTATTCTTCAAAAATTTCTCCCAAATAAAAAAATGTCCTCAATATTTTTTAATAGAATAGTAAAAGATTAAATTTTTTTTCTCTTATAAAATAAAAAAATAATGTTGATAATTTTTTTAAACTTTTTTTGAAAATAACTTTCAAAAAGCAATTACAACTTTTTAATTTTTTTTAAATTGTTCTACAAAAAAATGACATTATTTTTTCCTTTTGAATTTTTTTGAAAAATAACCTACAGAAAAACGTCATTACAACTTCTTTTAATTTTTTTTATAAATAAGTCTACAAAAAAATGTCATTATATTTTCCTTTTGAATTTTTTTAGAAAATAACCTATAGAAAAACGTCATTACAACTTCTTTTAATTTTTTTTATGAATAAGTCTACAAAAAATTTCATTATATTTTCCTTTTGAATTTTTTTAGAAAATAACCTATAGAAAAACGTCATTACAATTTCTTTTTAATTTTTGTATAAATAAGTCTACAAAAAAATTTCATTATATTTTCCTTTTGAATTTTTTTAGAAAATAACCTATAGAAAAACGTCATTAGGATTTCTTTTTAATTTTTGTATAAATAAGTCTACAAAAAAAAGTCGTTATTTTTTCTTTTGAAAGTTTTTTGACAATAATCAAAAGAAAGTGCGTTTATAAAGAAAGTCAATAGGATCCCGAAAAGTCAATAAGAAGTCTAAAGAAATTAAAAAGAATGTTGAGACCTGTTTTTGTAAGGGAGGGCGCGGTGCCGTCGGTGCCGAGAAGCACTCCGATTGCAAACTGGAACTTAAAAACCCGTCGAAGTGTTGTTTTTTAGAAAGTTGTAAAGTGCAGTGTGTGTCTTCTATCGAACTGACATTTTTATTTGGTGTTTTTCGATGATGCTGAGCAAGTTTCCAAATGAAACCGTGCCTTACAACTCAATATTAAAAAAAAAAACATAAATAATTGGGCAAACAAGTTTAACAACTTAATTACCCCGAACTAATGGCAAGATAGCCCTCCAGAACGCTTGTTGCGTTTTTCTTGGTGGGTTTTTGAAGCTGTTAACGTTTTGCCTCGGAGTCAACTCTTATCATGTATGACGGTAGCCTTTACGTGCA